TGAGTGACTGGAGGAAAGTACCGATAAGGTTGAAAATAAAACCCCGTTCCCCGGCAGTCGCAAAGGAGACCGGCATGAGGGGAAGGCGGGTCTGAACGAGTTTTCCAGACATGTTAGCCATTGCTGGCTCCGTGCCAGCAGTCTATACGGCAATTATCCCGCTGATTTCACGACCTAGACTAGTCACGCACTATAGCCAGCTATTGATGAAGGTCTTCTCTCTGAAGTCTCATACCGAACAGTGACTTTAGGTCCGTAATGTATTAAGTTATTTTTTTGATTTGATTTGATTTTTTGATTTTTTTCACTAACAGTCCACTTCGACCTCCACCATCATTATTATGCGCTCTTAGACGCCAACTTTCCTCCTGAGGTCTCCCCTTGAAGTTTCTTATATATGGGTTTGCAGAATCAATATCAGCTCCCAGAAATGTGCTTGCATGTGTTTCTGAAGTGGTCTATGTGAAAAATTGCTGTGAAATTGGGTGCCACGCTAGCCCGCTGTAACGTTCCATACTCCTACGTGACCTATGACACCACTAGTTCATCACGTAGCTAGAAGGGAGAGAAATAACCCTGCCCAAAGGCTACAGGATTAACCGCAAGGGTTGCAGCACCGCAAGTGCACATAACACATCCAATAGTAATCGTAGGCTCAATAGTACTTGTTCTAGTACTAGTACTTGTTCTAGGCAGCTCAGTTTGATTGCTGGGTCTTTTCAGATCTCTGATTCACGTTCTCTGGTCCAAGGGTGTACAGCCGGATTCACATAAGATCGATTTGATGTTACAGGATCTCCATCTGCGTGCAATTCCTTTGGTCATAGCGCTATCTTTCTCATTGTCCTCTTTTGCATACTATGCTGTTCGACGTTCGCGTTTCTACTTGACTGTTAAACCTACAAAATCATACCTAACCACTTCAGCTACAAAATGGCACGAGAATCCTTCCTGCGACGAGTCTTCATGGCTATTTCGTGTTTCTTTGTCTTCGCCTGGTTTATACTGTTCAAAGACCTTCCCCGCCTGTTTCTTCAACGACGAAAGAAAATCGAGAACCAGGTTAGTTCAGGCTAGAAGCCATTCATTTCACAGACATACTTAGCAAAATTTCGGAATATCCCAAAATTTGCCGCGCCCTGTCCAAGGACTGATTTCCAGGTCGTAGTCATCACCGGCGGAGCGATGGGCATCGGAAAAGAAGTGTCGAAACGATTAGCTGTTCAAGAGAAGGCCAAGGTGTGCATATTGGATGTGATAACGACAGTAAGATAGTACGGTTCTAGATTCAGCATGGCCACAGCTGTCCACACACCAAACCGCAAATAGGCATGGCCTCCTACCTAGTAGTTGTAGACGTCTGATGGTAGAGTTGGAGACGCAGAGGAACCTTCTTCTTTCAGAAAGAAGGCTTAAACACCGTGAATGAGATCAACAATGAAGGTGGTGTGTAGCGTACTTCTTCCGATGTGACGTATCAGATCATGAATCACTGGAAAGTGTGAGGGACGAGATCCGGGCACATCCACAACTCGGTAAGATCTCATATCCTTCTGGATTTTCCTCACAGGACCAACTGATCGTAGTGATTCAGGGGCTGTGAACATAGTCATTTGCAATGCAGCAGTACTACGAATTGGTGAATGTTTGGAGATGTCAGAGAAGGACTTCAAAATGAACTCCGATGTGAACATTCTGGGCCATATCTTTGTGAGTTTAAGGGTTAAAGCACTTTTCAAGACAGCTGGTGATGCCCCCCCCCCCACTGTTCTCTCATAAATTTGCTGGATCAGCAAATGTAGTAGCAAACAATTTACCAAAGCTATTTGAACCAAAAATGGTTATACGTGTGAGAAACCTGTGAAAGTTGCTTGAGATTCACCCAAACACTTTCTCGTTTGAGTAAATTTAAGCCACGCCCCTTAGCACTAACCACGCCCCTTTTGATATATGAACAGTCCTTATGCAAACGTGACTTCAATCTTATTTTTCAGCTCTTTACGAACAAATAAAAATAATTCTTTCCGTTTTAAGACGGTGAGAACGTTCCTTCCGGACATGATTGCCGCTCAAAAAGGACATATCGTTTCCGTTGGTTCCATCTGCAGTTACTATGGCGAGCATTATGGCACGGCTTATTGGTAAGTGTTATAGCTCTGCATAGATTAGTATAGTGTTGTTTATTTACCGGTTCCCAAAATGGCCTAACAAATCTGAGCACAGACCTTTGAGTTGGAATAGATTGAACAAAAATCGATTGAGCAACCTCGATCCTACAGTAATCCTTCTGTGCTGGTCCTAAATTGTGCTCGGCTTCCTTCCCTATCGGAGTTTCGGTGGAACCTTCAAATTTCCTTCTAGCGCAGCAAAATTTACTGCATGGTCGAAACTTTTCGACATAGTTCCTATTTTATTTTGAAAGTCTGCTTGATAGCGCCCCCGATTTTCAAAGAGGCTATGTGACTGGTTATATAATCTTGTTCAAGCCAGGCAGCGAAAGGGTGCTTCAGAGGAAATGGCATTTGATCATAGGTCAGGAGATCCGCCGCGCGGCAAACGCGACATCGCATTTGGTCTGTAATTTACCGTACCCAGTCGAGTTCTCATCTGTTCACGTTTAGCTTTGTAATAAATCGTTACGTGATGAGCGCTTAAACAATTACTCCTTTCATTGCTTGTTTTATGGTCGCTTCTCTCTGCGAAATTTATGATTTGTCGGTACGTGTACGTGAGAAGGCCCTGGAAGTTTGGTACGCAAAAAGGCGCTCATTGAACGTCAATTTTTTCACACCGAAATCAATTCACGCCGAAATCAGTGATTAACTCCGTGAAAAACCCTAGCTGTATTAGAGTGATACTGTAATGGTGTTACAGTACACCCAAGCAAGCGCCCAGGAATGCTTAGGCGTTTCTGAATGATGATCGCAGTGGGGGTCCCCTGACCAAGCACCCCCTCCATATCATGCATTTAGTGCGTCTTGCGTTTAAAACAACACAATAAGGCACTCATTCGAATCTTGCTACCAATCTTATGTGTATGTAGCCTTATTCTTCA